CAAATAGATAAATCATTAAGGGTCTTGTCATAGTCTTTTTCATAGGTGTTCCAAAAGAACTCACTATGTGACTTAGAAAGTGATTGAACCACCAACTTTCTCAAGACTTTGACACCCAACTCTCCCGGCTTGTCAATATGTGACTACATCTCCAAGATGTGACCACACCAAGACCTTTACTTGCCAATAGGGCTCGAGTGACCTTAAACTTTTCAAGAACTTGTGGGTGAGGGAGAATAATTGGAGGAGATAGAGGAAGTGAAGCATGATGTTGAGGAACATCATCTTCAAGAGATTTGGGAAGATCATAAATGTCTAAACCAGACATGTTTTGGGAGATATTCAAGATAGTTGATTTAAAGTCCTTAATATGACACCCAATATGAAATATTAAGGCTAGGACCCAACAAATATTTTATAATTTGGAAGAGGGATGCCGTAATCCAAGCTATAAAATATTTGAAGGTAGGCGAATGACGATTCACCAATTTCCACCATGAAAAACGAAATAATTTATTAGGTTTTAATTGGATTTGAAATTCCTAGATCTTTTGAGATTCATTGAACTTTTCAATGGCATGTTTCAATCTCGAGTGTGCCCTCTCAAATTTTGTGACTGGGATGCCGAGGATCACAAAACAAGGTGTGAATAACCATACCAATTCACTTGGTACCCTTAATATTATCACCTAATCAATGTGCCGGTTAACCACACACGCTCCATTGATCTATGAAAACATTAAGTCACCCTTCGTGGTCCTTACTAGTCCAAGTTAGTGTGCCGGTTAACCACACACGCTCCACCAACGACTTGGTAAGGTACAAAGTGTGAATTCCATGGGCTAGCACCAAATTCACATTTTTCCTAAAGTAACTAAGATTGGGAATTATTAAGATTTTAGTTACTTAGTATTTATCATTAATACTTTTAATGAAGGGAGAATTTAAAGTCATTGTCCTACCCGTTCGGCTAACGACCCTCCACCAGTCAAGCAAGCGGTGGGTGAGAGTAGACACCCATTAAGTCGCCATTTTATAGGCAACAACTTATACCCACCTTATAGACCGGCTTCGTGAATGAGGCCTACTAACGGTAAAACGACTTGTTCTTATACATATATATAATAATTAACCATTAATGTTATAAATAGTATAAGTGTTGAATTTTAACTCTTTAAAATTCTAAGGGCTAACTTGGAATTAAAGTATTCATAAGTGAAAACTTTTCAAATTCCAAAACTTGAGGGCAAGTTTTGAAACTATTCAAAACTAATTAATTCCATAACTTATGTGTTTAAAGTAGTTTTAATCCAAAAAACTCTTCAAGTTCCATAACTTATGGAAGACTTTAAACTAATAAGAGAATTAACTTTTCTTTATTTTTATAACTTATGGAATTAATTAAGGTTACACTTTATTTATTTATTTATTTATTAATGAAGTGACTCTTGAATTTCCATAACTTGAGGACAAGTTATGGAGTCATAAAAAAAATTCAATGACACAAGACTCTTCATTTTGTAACCATTACCAACTTTTATGAGTTTTATGAGTCTTTAATGTGACTCTTCATGTAACTTGAGGACAAGTTACACAAACACATTTTATACTCAACTCTTAGATTAAAATGGATTGAAAACAACTATTTCAATTAACTTTTCTATTAATCTAAGCAACTCATAAGAACAAGATAATTCAAATCAAACTTTTTCATGTAATTAGTCTAAACCTTAAACTAATACAAAACATGAATCTATTGACAATTATCTTTGAAAATGGATTAGCATGAACATTACCACATTAAAAAACAAGTTTATAAGTTCAAAAACAACTTAGGGTAATGTTCCTAGTCCATTTCTAGCCAAAAACCTCGAAAATATGCTGTCTGGGGTCCAACTCGTCGAGTTGGATGCATTTTGCCTTGGACTCGTCGAGTCCTTTCATGGACTCGGCGAGTCTGCTGAGCTGACAGCATCAAAACTTGATTTTTCAGCTCCATTTGCAAGTATAACAAGAAAACAAGCCTAGGCTCTGATACCACTGTTGGGTTTTGAGCATTCTAACACTCCTAAGTGTACATGCAACCCTAAATACCTTGGATCTATGTTTTCTCTATTATACATGCAATAAGAATATCCAAGGTATTATCCTAATCTAGCATACAAAACAATGAGTGTAACAAGATAGAATACATACCTCTTTGATGTAGAAAGTCTTCATGAAGCTTGAGTGCCTAGCCCCAATAGTGTGGAAGCCTCAAATGGAATCACAATCATCAAAACACTTAGAATAACTTGAGAGAGTTCTACACTTCATGAAATCGGCTAGCCCTTTGTTTCTCTCTCTAGTGGCCGATTTTTGTCAAGAATAATATCATTATATAGTGTTACAATTAGGGTAAATCCTTAATTGTCATGGCTTTCCATTTCCTTGGATCCATGGGTTCAAATACACCATGGAGCATCCATGGACCATCCTATGGGTTTTAGCCCAACTTGATTATCCATGGAGCATTAGCCCACTATATAAGTATGGATGATTTACACAATCAACCCATATATTTAATTAGTCTTCTTTTGATCACTTAATTAATTCTAGATTAATTCTTGATCAATACTAATTAAATAATCTTATTATTCTTATTATTAATATACTAGAACTTATAATATATTAATAACCATAAGTGTCTTATTTCTCTCATTATAGTCTATCTAAGTGCATGACGGTATGCAACCCAAATGGACCATGCCGGGTCGGGTCAAGTCTTACCAATTATAGTTATGGACTTAGACATTAATCCAACACTTTACTCATCTCATTCAGAGTTGCAATTGCATGTCTGCATGGAATTCCAATTAATTCCCATTTTCTGCAAGTGCATGTTTTGTTCCTAACATCAACCACATGTTGATCCTGCAAAGCTCCTGTGACTTGATACTTGTCTCCCCCATTCCACCTAGCAATGTATTGTGAAGCAACTGTTTTTCTTGCAGCTAGGATGTCTGTTGCTGTGGGTGTTAGTGGACCTTTAGCCCTTTTCATTTCCTTCATGACATTGCATATCCTCTTCATTAGATACTCCCTTATGAATTCTAAACATCCAATGACAGGTTTATCCCTTCCTTTCTCTATCTTCCCATTAAACACTTCACACATGTTTGATATCAACACATCAGAAACTGCTCTTCCTGTGTGTAAATTACAATTAAAAAACATTTAATACAATTCACATACAAGTAAAACAGTTCACTAAGTGAAAGACATAAGGACCAAATTGGAATATATAGATTTACCTGAAAAATGACTCCTTGCCCAATGTTTAGGAGGAATTTGCTTCAACCATTCACATGCCTCCTTATCATACTGACTAAACTCCTTCATCAAATGTTCAAATCAGGAATGGTGGTAGCTGATGCACACCTCCATAAGTGGTCCCTGTACTCTGTTTGCCTCCATCTTTTCCTCATATTGTCATGAATATGTCTGATACAATATCTATGCTCAGCATTGGGAAAAATTTGCTCAACTGCAGTATGTAAACCCTGCAAAAATTAATTTTCAATCATTAGAATTAACTTACAACCACACTTTAAATGACCAAATGTATAAAAACTACTTCCAACTTTACCTTTTGCCTGTCACTTATGAAAGTAAAATTTGAGTTTCTTCCAAGGTCCAAGTCATCCCCAAGGTTATCTAAAAACCATTTCCAGCTTTCTGTGTTTTCAGACTCAACAATCCCATATGCTAATGGGTAAATTCCATTATTGGAATCAAGACCAACTGCTGAAAGGACTTGCCCAGGGAATGGTCCTTTCATGAAGGCACCATCAAAACCTAATAAGTCCCTAAGGCATGCCTTGAACCCTTTTTTCAGTGGACCCAAGCACACATAAATTCTTCTAAACTGCCTAGTTGGGGAATCAGGGTTAGGCTCAGAACATACATCTATTTTCACTGTGGTGTCTGGGTTGGTGGCTTGAAGTTCGAGAACATAGTCCCTCAACAGTTCATACTGCTTTGTGTAGTCACCAGTTACATGCTTTCTTGCCTTATCCTTTGCCCTGAACACCTTGTCCATACTAACACCCACTTGGTAGGTCTTTTGAAAGTGATCTTGTATAGCTCTCAAAGGTATATCTGGATTCGCCTCAACTTGATCAAAGATTTTCTTGCTGATTAAAGAAGCAGTACAAGCCCTGAGTTTCCTTGTTTGCAAACATGTGTGAGTTTGGTTTAAGGTCCTTATAAACCAGTCGGATTCAGGATTTGACCTAGATGCATGAATGTACCAACCACATGTTACTTTTTGTGTCTTTAATTCTTTACCCTTTCTTTTTGAAGTGGTAGCTTGACTACCCACTTGGCCTTTATTGGTGACAGGTACAACACCTCTACACTGTGCCCTAAGCCTTACATTGTCATTTTTTTAAAGAAAAGATTCCTTCTTGATTCTAGTGCATGCAGATCAATTGCCTCCTTTAATTCTTTTTTACTATTAAATTTATCTCCAACTGAAAAAGATTGTTTATGTACTACCCCAAGACTGCACCTTTTTTCTTTTCTCAAATTCTTGATAAGAGCTCTTCTCTCTCTGTCTTGGTCGGATCCTTCATCCAAAGATTCAAATTCCTCATTGTTAATCACTTCCATATCTTCAGGTTCATGCCCATGAACAACATTTATACAAGAACCTTCCACATCACTTTCAACATTGAGAGTGAAGTCTCCCATGTCCACATCCACATCCTGTATATTGTTGTCAACATCCATTATGTCATCCATATGATCTTCATCTTCTATTTGTCTCTCATCTTCTTCATACTCTGGATCACTATTTTCAGATTCATCATACTCTTCAAAATTTGGATCACTTTCTTGAGATTCATCATCCTCTTCATACTCTTGATTACCCTCTTCAGATTCTCCATCCCCTTCATACTCTGCATTATCATCATCACTCCCAATCAAATTTTCCATAAGGTTATCAAATAACTCATTCAATTGTTCATCAGCATTATTAACAGGGGGGTGTTGTAGCCTTCTTCATCAAAAGTTGATGCCTCTTGAACAACATTTGCAGCCTCCCTAACACCATCCATCTCATCAATATGAACACAAGTTGCTGCCTCCTGAACATTAGTTGAACCATCCAGATCATCATTCTTTTCCTTTGAAATGTGAACAACCTCATCAATATAATCTAAATTAAGCCTCTTGCTACAAGAACTTTCACCTATTTTGGAATTCCCAACCCTACCCCTTCTATACTCTGGTGAGAAACTATCATTCTTACTCCCAAAAAGAATCAGAGACATGAACTCACCAATAGGCTCACCATTACCATGGTTCACATTTTTCATTGGAGAATCTGCATGAACTTGACCCTCAACTTCAGCCCCTTGATCATCATTTTCTGGTAATTCCTCAATGACAACTTTACCCTTTGCATTTGGTGACATGAAGTAAGTCAATAAATTTGTCTTTCCATGCTCTGTGTACACCTCAATCACTTGTTATGTGCAATGTATTTAGAAAGGTTGATCACATCCTGATCATTCCCTAAAGCTCTAAGACCAAATTGAAAGTCACCATTGGGTATCCTAAAATGGTAGTATATAACTGGGGATTCATCAGCGATTCAGAATTCCGTGGGTCTGGGTAACCTAGGTCAAGCATTATGGCATCAAGTTCATGCACAAAAACTCATCAATGTCCAGATAATCAACATAACGCACTTCACCTCCAATGTACTTTATATCAGGTAATTTAGTAAATTTCCCACCGTGATGAAGCTTAATACTAAACCATGTGGGTGCACCAGCTAAAAATCAAAATTATACATATTAACAAAGTTAAAATTTTGCATTTTTTTGTTCTAAATCAATAAGAAAATGCAAAGTATAAAAGTTAAAGAAAACAGAGCAGCTTACCATATACAGTTGATACATCAACAACTTCGCGTTTTGGTCTGATATGCCACATTACGAACACCATTTCGTATTAAACGTATGCCCTTATATGTGTAGTGTCGATTATCTTGTTTGGATAAGCAACGAGGGTTTTTTGCAGGTTCAATGGAGCAGAAGCAAGAAGGAGGGAGTTGGGGAGTTGACGAGTGTTGGGGAAAGTAAATGAGGGGTAAATGTCAATTAATCCAAAAAAACGTTTATGCAAAAATGGTCCCTGACATATGAAATGATGAAATTACCCTCACGTGTGAGGCACGTGAGGGGGCTTAACAGTTCCAACTTAACGAGAGTTAAGTCAGGGACCAAAACCACATAGAAACCACTCCAAAAGGACTATGGTTCCAAAAAACTCGTGATTTGGACTAAAACCCCAAAATTTTGCATACCACAGGGACCATTTTTGCAATTAGCTCTTTTAAATTTTAATATTTCGGAATAGGTTCTGGCGGTTACCCGACAGCTAACGGCTCCTAAAAAGGGAAACCGGAACCGAAACCGGTCCTTGGCGGTTCCTACTTTTAGGAACTGGAACCGGAACCAATGACTTTGATTCCGATTTTCGAAACAACGGTTTCGAAGCGGGTCCTGTTCCAAAAACGGGTACCCGCTATCCATGGTCACCCCTAGTCTTTGTATTCTAACACTTGTTTTTCTTAGTATATATTTTGAATTGGTTAAAGTTTTGAATTTATCAGATTCCGGTATTTGGAGCTGGAGGTGTGACAAGTTCCTTTATATCGTGGTGCGCATGTCATGTGTCTAGGTGTGGGGTGTCATAAGTAAGGCGTGACACACCAGGCCTATTGGGCCAAAACCCTAAGCCTCAATATTTGGGCCTATTTAATGACATTAATCCCTAAGGTTTTGTTATTCCCTTAGCCTCCAACTCCAAAGAGCCTCCATTGAAACCCTAATGTGTAACATCCCAAACTCCCAGGTTAAAATTTTCATTTATAAAATAATAAAAACATCCATTATTCAGAAATCAGAGTTAAAGAAGACAACGTGGAAACTCGAATCATAAATCTTCTGATGTGTGTATAGTCCTGCCTTCACAATCCGATAAGTACCTTCAAAACATTTAATTTACACCTGTAAGAACAAAGCTTAGAGAGTTCCCCAAAAAAATATCTCATATAACACAACATAACAATCAATTATGGGTTATTAGCAACCCTAGGGACTATCAACAGTCCTAGTGGGCTAACAACACGCCATGTGGATTAACAGCACACCACTCGGATTATCAGCAACCTTGGGAACTATCAATAGTCCCATGGACTTTCAGCAATCTAGGAGTTATCAGCAACTCAGTTTAGATATAGCAAAAATCAATATATAAGACCTAGTTGGTTAACATGCATATACTACCACACAGGGAAGTATAATGAGAGGACTCACCTCACAAGTAACAGCTAAACACCACATCTCTAACCCAACAAGGACTGATCCTACATGGCACCTAACAGCAATAAAGAGTGACCACTTAGCCTACACTCCAAAACCCTTGGTTTGACCAAAAGTCAACACATACCAAAAGTCAATGGTCAAAGTCAAAGTCAACAACCAACAATGTCAACCATCGAGCCTCACATCGTGAACAAACCTTGGTCATGTCGTGAGGGCAAACTCAACCCGATTCTAACTCGACTTGCTCCAACTTAGCCAACTCGGTCACGGACAACCCATTGGACAAACCTTACGACATGAACATTCCTCTGTCACGACGTGAGTACAAAAGACACAACAGGTGTAGGTTCGTTCATGGTCACGTCATGACACCCTTAGTGTCACGTTGTCACTATAGTCTGATCAACATTGTAATGATTTAATTCCTTAATCCATTAAGTCATAAACTCCAATTTTCTAGAAGGCTTTATCCATTCCAAAGCACCATAAAAATCATTATTTTTTAGAGATGCATATCCAATGAAAGTCTTAAACACAATCTAGGTCAAAATGACCAAAATAAGATCCTAACTTCAAGCATGCTGCCCAAAAGATCATGAAATATCAAATCCATAGACCAAAAATACTCTTGTGACAAAGTAGAATGCTAAAGTTGCAAACTTTATCACATCTCACAATGCAATCTTCATTAAATGGACCGAAAACAAGCTTAGAATCCAAATCTAGCAACTTATAAGCATAAAGGTGGAAACTTAAATTATACCCAAGGTCCATAAGATAGTTGGAAATTGAGATATTCTTAAGCAAGGCTCCAAAACTCCATCTTGAAATAGATTCTTTCCAAAATCCACCAAGAACTTCAAAAATGGATAAAAGAGAAGAGGGGAGGCTCAAAGTGGTAAAAAGGATGCTAGGGTGTCTCTTAAGGGGTTCTAGATATGATGGAGGATAAGAAAATACCCCTAAACATGAACCCTTTCATTTAAATACCTTGAAAACCCTAAAAATTGTGTGGGCTTGGGCTACACAGTTTTCACCTCGTGACATCTTGCTTATCACCTCGTGAGATGGGTTATTCCCCAGATTCCATTCCGGCTTCAAATAATCACAACTTCTTCGTTTCAACTCTATTTTGACGGTCTTTATATGAACGTGAAGGTATTAACGATCCCCACAACCATATATAACTACTTTTGGCTTAATACATGTCGAACTAAAACCATAATCCATGCAAGAAGCCTAATATATAACTTTTCCCATTTTACCTTTTTTATACAAAGCGCAATTCAATGGCTTTAATCACTTAACCCAATATTATCAACCTCTGATAGGGTCTAAACTTTATTACGTTGAATCCCAAGACCTTTAATTGATCATTTATGGGTTGTTATCTCGATAATAGAAACATCTAAAAACTAGGTGTTACATAATTTCTCTCTCTTTTTCTCTCTTGTGTTCTTGAGCCTTTTGCTCTTTGTTTGGTGAAGCTTGAGGATAAGGTAGATCATTATGGTGTTTTGGTGTTTGATTTAGAAGAAGATCCAACACCCACTTATGTTTTGGACCTTTTTAAGTCAGAAAGTCTCCTCCTTTATGCATTTTTCCTATAGATCTAGGTTGTGGGAGCTTGTATGGTCATTTTTTGTCCCCTTTAACATTGTTATTAGAGTTTTAGGGAACTCCAAGACCTCTACTTGTTATTTAGAACTTTTGTACCTTTAAAAGTGTTAAAGACCCAACCTTTTTCATGATCCATCCATGGATCTGTGAGTTTGATAGATTTTGGTCACTCTTATGTAGTTTTAATTAGTTCTTTTGATGTCACTTTTTAGAGTTTGAGGGAGCTCTAGAGCTTAGTACTAATGTTTAGGATCAGATCTAGACATTTGGTGGAGTAAAGAGTGCATGCATGAGCTCTCTTTGATCCATGCATGAAGAAATGACCATTTTGTTCACTTTTACAACTTAGGGTTTGAGATCTCAGCTGTTTAAGCCATAAAGATGGATAAAGTTGAAAACTTTGTCCATTAAGACATTGAGAAGTTCCACATCTAAGAATTAGGGGTCCTGACTTTTTGGAATAAATATTTAATATAAAGGTGGTTAAGCTTGAAGCAAACCTCACCTATCTGGGTGCCCGACGCGCCTTTTTAAGGCATTTCCCAAGTAATTCGTTGTTTTTTTTTTGGTGTGGCGTGCCTATTTGACTTTATGGATGTTGACTTTGACTTTTGACATTGATCATTGACTTTTTGACAAGTTTGACTTTTGGTCAAACTTTAAGCTTAAGACTGAGGTTTAATATCTGACTGTAATTAGGTGGTTCGTGTTGCTGATCCTTTCGAGTTGTGGGTTTGTTTTGGTTCATCTTTTGATTCAGGGGAATTTACTCATTATACTTTGTGTGACATTTTATGTCCAGTGTGGTAGATTGGTTTAGTACTCTTAGAGTATGGTTAAGTGTTATGTTGGTTAGTCTATTTATCTGGTATGCTTTGATTATAGGGGATGATGGTTATGTGCCTACAAGCCCACCAGAATGGAAGTTGTAGGCTCAACAGGTCTTTGGGATGATGACTATGTGCCTATAGGTCCATTGAGGTGTTGACTATGAGCTGATTATGGCTGGAAGTTCTACAAGTCTTTAGGATGATGTTTTGTGTGTATAGGCCCTTTGAGGTGTAGACTATAAGCCTTATTTGTATGCATTGTGTATGTAATGTTGATCTCTATTATTTTGGGGAACACACTAAGCGGATTGAATATTTGTCAGGTAGCTATATTGTCGGAATAAAGGACCTTGTTTAATTGTACCACACGCACATCACTTCGATTTTGTTATAGACTTTTGCTAATTTTATGTTACTACCCTGTTTTGGAAACTACGACTTTATAGTGTTGAACAAATAAGTTTTTATATTACTTTTGGAATGAAGTTTGATTTTATATTTTATTCTGAAAATAATAAATTTTGGTTTGAAATTTTTGACGTCATACATACAGTCGCACACAAAAACGGTAATATTGTCAAACAGTTAATTAAAAACGGTAATATTGACCGTTGCATTTTTTTCACTCGT